TTCACGCGTACGTACATATATTTTTGTTCCTCTCTACATTTTTATGAAATTAACGTGTAAAAAATGAAAAACAGCAACGTACGAATGGCATTAGATCTTCTTCATATATTATACATGCTCCAAATCAATCATTCGCATATTTTCCTTACATACGTATCTTGACTCTCGCGCGAAAGAACTTAGCTTTAGTTATTTGTCTATTACGAGAGACGGACAATAACGGAAGAAGCGCCGCACAAGAAAGGGAAATGTCGGAAAACGCGTGTTATATCATGTGGTATAATTTCGGGGAACTACCCTTTTTAATTCTCGCTGCTCCAGCGATTACGTCAGGAAGCGCTAGTGTATTCGCGCATTACTTCTCATTTCTCCAAGATTTATTTGACACCACGTGTCGGTGAATATCCGCGCGCCTTCGTATTCGAAAATAGGTGCATATTTCATGGTACATTTCGCTCTCTCATTTTCGAGGATTACCCGATTCTTAGTCCTTTTTTTACGTTCTCCCACGTTTGTTTGTTCTATGCGTATACGAATAAATATCACGATACGGACGCGATCGTCTATATTTGAATAAAATTTAATTATTAACTATCTTATATATTTATAATATAATAGTAACATTTTGTAGTCACTGTACGTTACCACAAATACCATGATGTGTCGTTATCAAATTATTAACGGAGACATTTTGCCTCCGCCAGCCTAGATTCAACGTATCTCGTCGTTTTCTTCGGCGTTTACATCTGAATTTTCCATCATCCCTCTGAACTCCCTGATGCACTTGGCGCAAAGTTTCCACTCACCTCTAGAGATTGTAAACAGTATAATAATGGCCGTTCTTATTACAGGCTGGTACAATGGGAGTTTCGGGAAAACTTCTGAGATTTGCCATTCCTCAGCATTCTAATTAGTAATGCTAACGAAACTTCGCGGAATAATGAACGCCGAAGCAGTATTGAATCAAGTGCTGTCGCATGTATTAACGTGTATCTGTGCCGCTGTTCACATTTTGCCAGCAAGCGAAGGTTTCTCTCGTTGTTTGCCTTACTTAAATTAACACGGAACGAGGACGATCCGATGAAAGTGAGAAGACACACGCAAAAGTATCGTTTGTTGCTAACGTTGAGATGCAACGTCTATAAGCTTAATTAAAATCTTTAATAAGCAAAACGGGCAAGATAAAAATACAAAAATATTTTTAAAAATCTGCTCTCTCTCTCTCTCTCTCTCTCTATCTCTCTCAAGAAGAAAAAGTAGAAATTAGTTCACGACGTCAGCAAGGACAAAACCATCATTAAAGTAACAAGTGTATACTCTCTTACAATAATCTTTAGCAATCTTATTTCTTTTTTACAAAAGCGAAATGTATTAAATATTAAAATTTCCACTACGTAAGTAAAATATCTGTTTACAGAAACTATAATGATCTCGTGCCATAAGTAAAGAGGGCACTGATAAGTAAATATACGTAAGCGTGATGGTAGAGGTTCTCTATGTCTAACAGTCCATTTACCTCGGATGTGCCGAGTTCTTGTCATCGTCAAGTATTTTCGTTCTACCCTAAGTTTGTGTTCGGGCACCGGTTTTTGCTCTTCAACCTCACAATGGATGTGTCGATCTGTTAGGTCGACGTGGTATTAGCTTCTCCCAGTATCATCGAATAGCTCTTTACCTATTCTTTTTCAAGAATGAACACGGGGAAGAAATTTTGCGGACGCGCGATAGAGAATCGATAGCGCATCGCCGGGGATAGCGTAGGAATTAAAAAATGTTGGGTGAAATTTCCTTTCCTCCGTGTACTTTTATCGACGCGAGGTAATACGGTAATTCTTGCGCTACGCGAAAAAAAGAACAAAAAAAAAAAAAAAAAGAAAAATACATGTAACAACAATTATCGTACCTGGAATGAAACCGGAAATTCTACGAACAAATAGCATTTGTTCGTAGAAGGGGAAGTGAGGCTTCGCCCGAGCCAATAAACCGTATTTTCGCGGTCTGCTCGTCCGCTCAAACCAGATTATCGATACTTCGATTATTCCACTTACTGCCTTAACGATGTTATTGTTTGTTCAATCAACGATATTATCTGGACAATCGTACGACTAACCACACAGGGGTCCACGTCGTGCCCCTGACAATTCTCTTTTCTTAAATCCCGCTCCCGCTCCCGCCCCCCCCTCCCTCCCCCGTCGCTCCCCTCTTCCGCGCCCTCTTGTCAAAAAGAACGCAAAGACAATACAGACAATGTATGCGGATTAACGAGTAGGTTTACAGAAACAGTAAAAGAATGTGCGCGGGTATTTTTAATTGAATGTTGCCTCGCGAAAGAGTACAATCGAAAATCGATGCAACGCGCGCATCGTAAATACGTGCACTTTGCCAGTGGCTTTACACGCGGATACGTTACGTGTAAATTTTACATCTCCCTCTTCATCTTCTTTCTGCAGAAATTAAAAATAATACGGATTAACAGCATAATCATAATAATATAGCCAATTTACAGAAATATCAAAAGCACATAACGTATGTGTATTTTCGATTAAACGTCGTGTCGCGAAAATACAATCGGAAATCGATAAAATACGCGGCAGCGGCGGAGTAAACGTATATACTTGGCCAATCGCTTTATGCGCGAAACCGTGAATGTTACGTTAACTCGGTATGGAAATATATATCTCGTATTTCTTCGTGCCGCCTTTCTAAGAGGTTTCTCTAGAAAATTTGCCAGATGCGACTCAGGGATGGTTTCGCTCGCTCGCTCATGGTCCCCGTGGGCATCCACGGGGGAGGGGGGGGGAGAGAGAGAGAGGGAGAGAGAGAGAGAGAGAGGGGGGAGAGAGGGTTTGTATCAAAGGACCTTTCCTTATATTACGACCTAAGAGGCTTCCTTCAGTAGATTATGGCAACGTCGCGCTATTGCAACTTCCTATAAGAAGCTTATAGCTCCTTGCTATCAGAGACATTGCCGAGGAAAGCGATCATGCCTTTTGCCTTGACGGACACTATCAGGTATCGATGCTGTCAATGCGAATATATATTGCCGAGTGCTTGATGCGGTGAGACCGCCGCTTTAGACCTGGACATGCAATTAATCGCGAGTTAATCAAATTAGCGGCTATTGTCCTTGGGAACAGTTGGGACCGCGATCGAAGTGTCAACCGCAAAGGGGACGACTCTAGATAGTTTCTGTGAAACAATTTCAACTTCTATCACATACCATATTGTTTTCCCTCCCTCGAGCCGTCTCAAAGCTCAATATTTTTAAGCTTATTCTCGAATAGAAACGGTCTGTTTATAATGCAAAAAGAACTTCACTCCGACACTTTTCTGCTTTTAAGATTTCAAAAGTATCGCGCAAGTATTGCTCATGCATCTTCAAACGTAGGTCTCGTAGGTCTCTTCTATTTACGTACGCCAAAGTGTTAAAGTTTAGCTCTAATTTAGAACTAATTATTACTCCTTAAGAACTTGAATAATTTTTAAACTCGATAAGATTCCAAGTTTAGACTGATAGAGCGATGACAAATAATTCGCAGCTCGCCGTTTTCATTCCTTATCATTCGTCGCACCTGATCTTGCCTTTTTAAAACAGATTTACTCGTGCCGCGCCGACGCGACGTAACAGCGGTAACGAGGAAATATCGTTCCATGAATCGATCCGCGGCGTGAAAAGGTCAGACCGAGAAGGGGTCGTCGCTTGTCGAACGTGGCGAATGCCGTGTCGATTATACCGAGCAATGTGGCCGCATGAATATGCGCCTGAAACGAGAAACAGCAGGATTTCGTGATACACTGCAGCATTCGGCGATGTACAACGAGTTGCGTACTTGATCAAACTTGAAAATCAAAGCGATGTGTACATAGGGGATAATTCATCATTATCGTAATTTTTGCAATATATCTAAATTTCATTTACGACGTATCAGTGAAAATCAACGTCCATTCGATCGAGTACTCTTCGAGTACTTTTATCGAATCATGACGTGGAAAAATTAACGCAGCTGCGTTATTAAATATTAAGAAAGTTGAAGACCTTTTTTTATTTTTTTTCAAATTTAATTTTTATATTGGATTACTTGAAAATCTATGTAGGTATTAAAATGTCACAAGCATTTGATGTACACATGATACATCTACATATATATAGATATGTAAATATGGATGTCTCAACCTCATAACTTTTTAATGTCAAATTCCTGATTCGGAGACGAAACTCCTGATACCAAAACGTCATAACTTTCAAATAGGAAGCGTTCAACTACGGCGAATCTGTACGGCGAAAGTTTGTACGCCCAGATTTGGTGCGCCGCACATATTGCCGGTGCATGCTGTGCTATGCAATGCTTCAGGAAGACGTGGAGGAAACTCTCATCTGACGACCTGTCTGCTGATATCGACATAATTCCGCGTAGAATAATTTTCAAATCTTCAGCGCGTATATCGACTTACAGAGTAATTATTAATACATACAAAAATATCGGAATATTATTCTAATTTAATACTTAATAAACGTAATATCGACATACAATTGACATACTTCTTCTCGCATTGTAAATGTTTCATCAATCGATACGACAAGTGCAATAAATTATCTATTAT